CGGGACAGCTTCTCTAATTTTCACAGTATTTTGAGCGTACCTGAAGCATTTTTACTCGGAAAAAAAACGACACTTCGCAGGTAGATAAGCGGAACATTTCTCTATCTACTAATGTAAAAATCTTGTTAAAATTCAATAAGACTAATTAGTACTCATCAATTTCCAAAGAGCTCCTATCAAATGTCCTGAATTACCCCATTTGGGGTAATTCGGGACAGTCAGTGTGTCTCGCAGGGGGAATTCGAAATAGTTCAGTCAAAATGGCTGGAAGAAAGTAAAACAACTTTTTTTCAACGGCAAAGGTTTACCTTTCTAATTAAAAACTATACCGTCTTGTAGAGAATTTTGAGCTCTATCTACCTTGTAAATTGCTAGTCCTTTGGACATATCCTTGATTAATTAATTAGAAATTACGAAAATGAACGAACATAGTCATTTTTTTAAGTTTTCTTGTTTGGGGTAATTATGAACACTCAGCTATTTTGCATGGAGTAATTCGGGACAGTACGTGCAAATCGCACGGGATAGACAGAAAACAACTTCTGCTGCCTTTCAGAAATCGATTTTGATACCATACTGAACGGTACAATTGTTCGGAACCATGAGCTCTATCATATATGTAAAAATCGGATAGAAAAAGTGTATTTTCATCGTCTCCTGTAGAGAATATGAATACTGTTGTTTTTGAACAGTCTTTCGTTCATTAAAATTAAAAGAAAAATTTAATTAGAAGCTTAATTGACAATCAGCTCACGAACAAGTTCAACTTTTCATAAACCTCGTACAATTCTCTTCATGTTATATCAAACGTCTTTTAAAAGTAGCCCATCTAGTGTCTACCGTTTCCCGGTGAATAGTCAAGAGTCGGGATTATATCTCAATACAGTTTGTAGTGTATCAGTATAGAATTCCTTTTAATACAATTTCTGCGCTTTTTGCTGGATCGATGCTTCAACGAAGACTTGCCACTACTCGACCACATCATGGAAAAGACTACTATGTTGAGTGAAGTTTGTACGAAGTTCTAGTGGTATGAGAGCTGTTGCGACAATTCTTATATCCAGGTAAAAATATAACAATTGCTTAATAGCTTGAAACTAAATCAATCAAATTTCACAAAAAGAAACGTTATTCTTATTAATGATCTTAAAAAGATGCTAAATAGATGCTGATAGTGTAAGTAATAACAGTGTTTCCTCTGAGCTTGTATGTGACGAGCATTTTTTGACTCCAGCTTGCATCTAACTTCTTTAGCATAGGACTTCTTTGAAGTGTCCGATTTGTCGACGAATCGGGACGATACCCATAGGGCTTATTATTCTAAAAAGAAATTTTTTTATAAATAGTCGATATTCAGTTAACGAGTTTATCAGATAGCCTACGGTGTCAACTATCGTATGGCTTAAGTAAATTGTTTTCAAAAAGTTTCCAGTCTTGCATAATAATATAAATATCTGAGTCATATCTATGTTAGAGATTAATTCTTTTGCAGGTATGTGTTATCAAAAGCTCAGTGTTTATGGAATAATAATGATGATTATAACACTGCAATGTTATACATTATTGCTGTTTACAAGTACACAAGACAAAATTACAAACTATTAGCAACTGTTATTCATAACTCTTGTAAGTTATTACTTGAACATAACGAGGATATTATCGATATTTTAATATCAACCATAAAAGTCTATGAAAATATACCTGATAAAAGTAGTCATTTGTATAAATTACATTTATTATTAATAAATGAATTGGGAAGAGATGAACAAATAACATCATTACAATTGGTCAATGGGGGATGTCACATAATTGACAATCGATTTTCAGAACATCCGATCAATGAATTGAATGAATTGATTAAAAATACGAATGAAATGTTAAATCGATATCTTGAACAAGATGTTAAAGAAGCAATAGAACAAAAGTCGATCAATAAACTGGTGCTATTATTTGATAAAATGAATAACCCTAAACTATTACGAACAATTGTAGATACTATCGATGTTTCAACAAATATTGAACGTGCAATGGTATATTTAATTAAAGCACAAATATCAAAATTAGAAAATAACTCTCTCGAAACTGTCGCAAACCTTGAACAAGCTCTTCTTTGTTGTTCAAATGATAATACTTTAGTAAATACTATTGTTTCACTAATAGAACAGGTTTCTGTTCAACATATATTATTAAATGATATCAAAAATCTCAATTCAAATTTAAATAATAATGTTGATTTTATCGATCAATTAGTGACATCGAGTATCATTTCAAACACGGACCTACCAACAGCACTTTATTATTCAAAATCATTAAAACATATGAATTTGATTCGAAAATACGAAAAATCAATTTTTAAAGGATCGAGTAATAAATCAGTTGCCTTTCGTTATCTGGATATGTGTTCGATCTCCAATAGTCCAACGTGTATAGCAGCCAATTGCATTATGGCTGCTCTTCATTTTTATCAAAGAATTCAATCCATTCATTCAATGAATACAATAGCTGAGATATATGCCTATCGAAATGGAATTTTTGATCTTTGTAATAACATTCACATTTTAGCAAAATATTATCTAAGTCCACATATGCAGATTTATTTTTATAAACTTTCATTTACTCTAATTGTTAAAACAAATCAAATTCTAAAACATTATTTACCAAAAAAACATTCGTCATCAACTCAATTATTGATACAAAAAAATGAAAGTCAATTTATTACAAACCTATTAGAAAATATTATCAATACGTCTACTCTGTCACCATTAATTCAAATGCCAACATCACTCACCTATGATACTATGTATTTACATATGGCTGGTAAAAAAGTTTTAACTAAATTTCTCAAACAAATAAAGACAAATTATAGTCAGTACCTACTGTTCGAAGGTGTTTGTAAAGGATGGATTGATGATAGTGACAATGACCACGATAATATCAATAATTTTGATACTATTCGATATGATTGTATGAATTCATTATTGAGGGAACATCAGTGGACTATGAACGATGTGCAAACAGTATTAGAATGGTCGTACATTCATCGTACTACAGATGGTTGGCTATTGAATAATGTAAAATCGTTGAACACTCATGAAAATTACAAATTTTCAAACGTAGTTGGTGTCAGATTTAATGTTGAGATGGGAGAAATTAAACTTTTATTTCAAACAAGTAAAACGATGAATGATGCTCTGTTAGGCATCGATGATGTAGTGGAGATATTGACACATGGTATTACAAGTGCCATTTTCGCACTGGAACCGATCGAATCATTCGAGTATCCATTACACCCATTTCAAGAATTAAAATATGCACCACAAAGTTTAACACATACAAATTATTTGAAAACACTGTTGCATTCGTATTCGCTAATACAGATGATGTTGATGGGTACAGAAGTATGTGCAACATCACCCTTCCCTATGAAAAATATATATGATGGTTTCATGCAGCAACTACCAACACGATTACAAGAAAAATTACAACCCATCTATTCGGCCGAAAATGTTTGGCTTGAATCAGATGAATTAACATATGAAAAACATGATGATGGTAATATAATATCATATTATATAAATGATTTTAGAATGCTGATTAAAGTGGATGGTAAAATTCTTGATACATTAACGGACTCGTATAATGATCTCGGCACATATTTTCCAGCAATATTAAGGTTAAAAGAATTGTTAAAACTCGGTGCATTATTGACATTTATTCGTGCGAGTTATATCGCTTTTGAGAAAATATCGACAAATATTCAAATTGATGATCAAACAATTGAAGAATATTTGGCATATATAAAGCGTGTTATCACATACCCACGTGCCACCACATCTAAAGTAAGCGAAGAAGTCGATGAAATATTACGAGAAAATAATCGGTCACGTTGGGATGTATCATTGTCAAATATAAATGATCTTGAAAGTTCTATTCGATCTGACTTAATCGATCTTGATGAGAAACAATTATCCATCGTCGTGGATGTCATATGTATATCATTTCATTGTGAGAAGAATTCAACAGTTAAAAATCATATTGAAAAATGGTTAGATTACGATTGGCACAAAGATGCCTTGCTCAAATTCCTTATGGAATCAGCCAAAGAATATCGTCAACAAAAATACTCAAAATTATTGAATGTCATTAAAACCACTGGAATTAATTTGAATGCATCCGATCGAAATCTGAAACTGGCAAATACCAAAGATGAATGTTCATGGATACCAAGAATATTTTTAAAAAATGCACAAAAATCCGTTATTTACGGTGGTATTAGCTTACAACAAAAATTAGTAAGGGAATCACCGAAATCACAGACAAGATCGTCGATAGCGTTTGATCTAGCAGAATTATTTAAAATAGCAAAAACAAAAGTAATTTCAATATAAACATCCAGATTTTAAATTCTTTGAAAGTTTGAAGATCCTGTTGGACAAACAGTGTATTCTACAAGAGATAATGTGTGCTATATTATTATATTTTCTTCTCTAAAATTGATGAAAGTTGTCATTCTTTCTGAATGATAATATACATTCTAGCTATGCCGATAAACAATTCTTACTTTTTTCTTATCTGTTTCACTAACGAGGGAACTATCCCAAGTGTTAATCACAGATGCTAACGAGAGGTACCCCAATCGATAGAGCTCGACGAGCTGATTCTAGTGGCATAAAGCATTTTCCCCAATGTTTCTTGAAGACCCAGTTT